AACTTCATTGCAGTGAGTACATAGTCTCTGTTCAGTTTGCGTTTTGGTTTTGTATACTGATCTGTTTCTATTGTTAGTTTGTGGTTGCTTGTTCTAAATTTTGCTATTGCTCTGGTATACTCTCTGTTATTAATACAGTGTATACATGTATAATGTTCCATTATGATTCTTGTTTGATCAATTTGTAAAACAGAGGGTGCTGTGTAGTGATGAAATAAAGGGGAAAAAAGATCAGCCTCCACCTTTTTTGAAAATGCACACACAGACCAATAACATTAGGTTTTTTTTTCAGTCATAATGTAATTACTGTGACTCTATAATCATAGACTCTACATACTAGTATCATTAATTACTGTATTTTAGGTTAAGGGGTCCTGTTTAGATTGTTGACTGTCCCCCTGGCCTACTATTACTACGTTCATGTTACGGGGTCTCAGCAATTTTAGACTCTGCAATAGTTTCTTTCGTCTTGGGTGGTCCAACTGGCAGCAACTGATATTTTTTTGAAATTTTTAACGCCAAATAAGTGCCCACCAGCCGTGAAACCGCCCAGGGCATTTTTTTGGGATGGGCAAATTTACGGCAGAAAACGGTATGATGATAATAATAATTGCTATATTGAAATTTATATCATTTGTTGTTATGATATTTATTATGAGTCATTGTTCACATGAACGGCAAAGAAGGTTCGAAAAACAATTATTTTTCATGTCATATTAGCATTCCTAAAAATAGCGGTTGCAGCAGCACATAAATATGCGGCGCTGACGACGGTTTGCATTCCTTTCATACATTACTACAGCATCCGACCATATATATCTGCATTTTCCTTCATCATCATGTCATACTAATATGAATCAGCATATGTTCTTGTAAATTTACCACCGAGGGTGTGATTTCGGCTCATGCCGAGTGTACAGACAGCAAATCTCAGCACATGCTGAGTTTCGGCCCCAAGTATCTATCGGGACCGAGATCAAGTTTTTTTCGGCACATGTCAACTCGGCCTGAGTCTCGACACATGCTGAGATCTCTAACTGGAACACCACTTATGTTTAGTTGTTGACTTTTATATTGCCAGAGGCATTTAACAAACACTTTAAAAATAAGAATAAAACCATTAGGCCAATGGAGGTGTTAAACTTAAACTATTATTTACCTGTAAAATTGTATTGAGATAAACAAAACAGCAGGTTATAGAATACACAATAACTATTACAGACAAGTCACACTGATATAATAGATTCACTGCTCAAAAAAACATAAACTCCCAAGGCACCAACTCAAATGCTACGTGACGAGTTTGTCATACCACTGTGGGTTGAGGTAGCTTCTCTTTTCTACCTCCATGGGTAGCTGTAGCTCTTGGTTTTTTAAGCAACATAAATAAAATCTAGACAGACTTTCTATTGATTTGATAATAGAAACATTGATGATTTGGGACTGGTCTGATAAATTTAATTGGATCAAACTGATTTAAGTTTGGTTGGTAGGGTGTTTTATTTGTATGGGCTTGTAATGACAATAAAGAAATTCAAAGAATTTCACAATAACATAGAATTGAAGTTAGACAAGACATACTAGTTTTTATTTTCAGCTCCATGGGCTAAGCAGCTGTATTTAGGAACATCTGTTTCTAGAAATCTCGACCTAAAATTTTCTCAACCCAATACACTTCGAGCCAAATTGGACATCTCGACCCAGAAACCCTGGACATCTCGAAACATCCACCACAGAGAGCCTGATCGAACCGATCTTTAAAGGCAATCTAGTGCAATGGATCAATCCAAAAATGACGACATTTTCAGGAGTTGCGTGCTGGGAAAAAAATGACCTTATTGAGATCGGGTCAAGGCGGCGGGTCGTCTGAAATAGATGGGTAGAGATGTCTAGGAGTACTGGGCCGGGTGGTCAGTCAGTTCGCCCCAATGCACATTCGCCCCAGACCAGTTCGCCCCAAAGTCAGTTCGCCCCAAAGTCAGTTCGCCCCAAGTTTACTGGTGTTCGTTTTCGCGGTTATGCGTGCAAGGAAATGTGGTTTTGAAATATTTTAAAAATTATACTT